TATAGATAGATAGATTACTATACAACACAATACTCTAACTAGCAGTGATTATGCAAATTAACATGTCTTGTCGGGTCCCCCGAATCCACTCGCGGTGCTTTTAGGCTCTTCAAGAACCGGTCACCGTCCTTTTCGAACTTGTCGACTCCGACGAAGAGTTCGACGTTCAAACTAACCCATAGACACAGCTCGCTGAATTTCTTGACGGATTATCTCAGAGGGTCGTGATTTTTTTTTCCTGCCTAAGCTGATGGTCTTGAGAGACCATATGAGCGTCATCGGGCGAGTAGGTGAGCTCACGGGGCTCAAACCTGACGTTGTTGCTAACACGTGGCAAAAGTCGTGCTTCGCAGACTCTAACACCGGATCGGAAACGCAACTTACTGAGAAGATCCGGCAAGAAAGTCAGTTCGCTGTATCTGTGGGTTAATTTACGAACGACCACCGGTATCTCCGTAATCACTGCTCTTGCTAGAGCCAATTTAGCAATTCTCTCAGGTCGAGCCCGTGAGCTCACCTACCCGTCTGCGCAAAGTTGGAATATCCCCTTAGGCTACCAACGATTAGGTAGGGTAGATTTACAAATTTGTATTTTTTGGGCGATTGACTTTTTTTATCTTTATCGATTAAGAAGGTTTTCTATTAAGGTACTGTAGAATAGGGATCGTAGCGCATAAAATAAACGTTACACTGTTCTAAAATCTGCTGTTATAATAATAATTAAAAATTAATTATCACTTTTATTACGGTTTGCTCATTTTTTAACCGTCTTCGCCATCTTCTTTTTCTCTGTTATTCTGTCTGTCATTCTCTTCTCCCTTTCTTTTAGTTTTCTCTCACTCACACCTTAACGCTCCGTTCCACACTCTTTTCATACATACCGTTCTTATATTTAAATTCTTATATTTAAAATTTAAGTTCTAATATTAAAAAAAAATACATACTGAGTTTCTTGCCAGTTCTTCTCAGGACGGAGGCTAGTTTTTGTGAATTGGCGGTAGTTCTTTTTGACGTTCAACAAGTATGTACTTTCATTTATGTTGATTTTTTTTTTTTTGATTTGATTTACTAATCCTACAGTAATATTAGAAAAATTGGTAGCTGCCCGCGGGATTCGCACTCTGGAAAAGGGCTCATCGATCGATGCGAGCGCATCCCGCATCTTATCCTTTAGACTTTAACTTTCAACTGGAAATATATACCTGTTTCGGCATCGCTTAGTTGATATTCATAGTTAAGTACTATAAATTACTAAATACATAAATCAGAACCATCCGAACGCCGGTTCAAGGCTCGATCGATAATTACATATTATTTTTCTTTCAAATCACGACTCATTATCTTTGAACCGCTACCAAACAATCATTCTATTAAACTGACCTTAAAATTTGCTATTTATTACATTGAATGCAATTATTATTCTCGCATGTTATTAAAAAGGGACTTTAAATTTGCAACACCGTTTTTAATTCAGCAGGTGGCTTTAATTTTTGAAAATTACTTCATAGATATTATAGAATACGACCGAACGCATCAGTACGCGTGACGTCACTTGGGGCCAAAATGTATCATGAACTAACGTAATATATAATACGTAAAAATATGATTTGAAAAGAAATATGGTTCTTTAAGTGATTTCCAAAAAGGCGTGTTTTAAATTCGGAAAAAATGAAAAGGTTCTATTTTTATAGAACCTTTTACTGGTGGTGGTACGACCTCTTGTGAGTCTGCACGGGTACGTACCACCGCCCCGCCTATTTCTCCCGTGAAGCAGTAATGCGTTTCGGTTTGAAGGGTGGGGCAGCCGTTGTAACTATACTGAGACCTTAGAACTTATATCTCGAGGTGGGTGGCGCATTTACGTTGTAGATGTCTATGGGCTCCAGTAACCACTTAACACCAGGTGGGCTATGAGCTCGTCCACACATCTAAGCAATAAAAAAAAAAAAAAAAAAAAAAAACCGAGTATATTATATGTATATTCCTATGCGTGTGTGTGTCAAATAGATGGTAATGTGTGTAATGTTTTCTTTATTGGTTAAATGTGTTTTATGCATAATAAAAAAAGATATGAACATTCTGCACTCCTTCTCTATATTCTCTATAAATGTGGAAAATTTGAAACTTCTCCGTCCGCGCAATTTTCGTAAAAAGGGGGTACAAAGTTTTTGCTTCACGTATTAATATATAGATTACAATAGATATATTATATCCGGTATAGGTGATATATAAGTTACAATAACAAAATGTATCCTACGAGTTAATCCGGATTGTAAATAGACTGTCTCTGTGCGAGAATCACTGTAAATTCGTAAAGCTATCTTTGTGTAATTGAGTAACAAAAGTACAAACTTTCACATTACTAACATTACTTTAGATTAAGATTTCGCAAAGACGGTAGTTTGAATTTAAACAAAATTCCTTATTATGTTAGATTATTATTAGAGCATTATTACATTTAAGTGTGAAAATGACTTGTATGGATTTTATTAAAGAAGATATATGAGAGGAGGGTTCGAGTCCAGAGATGACGTATGCTAGGCCTGAATGGACATGCTGTACGGACCTCACACGTACCTAGATTGAGGGAACAGGGACTGAGAGTAGAATGGAGACAGGTCTGGGATGTCACAATAATTTTGTGAGATTTAAATTTGTTGAATTTAAAAGGACTTTTATTTAGTTTTTGTGAATATTCAATAATTTAATTTAGGCATCAGAGTTTCATGGCTGGTGGCGGGCGGTGCGATGGTAAAAACGAGACGGTAGTATCATCTCATTAGTCAAAGAGCAATCCTATTTCATGAAATATTGAGAGGACGCATGATACATTCTGCCTATTCCATACATTCCAATTTGAAGGACTGGACAACTGTTGTACATTTTATCCAAGACATCAGAACTCATACTAGGCGGGAGACATTCACATTGTTGTCTCTGAGCTACAATAACTATCAATTACCAGATAAAGATTTATCTGGTACCTCTTATGTCAACATTGGAGATAATTTGGCGCACCTCGTGGCGTGTTGGTAAGTGATACCGACTGCCGTTTCGAGGTCGTGGGTTCGATCCCCGCACAGGGTGATGATACACAGATATTTGTACTGCGTCTGGGTGTTTTCTATGTATTATATGTATATATTTACAACAAAAAGTAATACATGTAGTATATCCGTAATCCGGCACCCATAACACAAGCATTAAGCTTACCTTGGGGCTAGAAAATGTAGTGTGAAAATAACGGTGAATTAAAAAAAAAAAGCAGCATACCTTTATTTCTTTACTAGCGACCCGCCCTCGCTTCGCTTCGGAAACATTAAAACACACATGAAACCAAAAAAATAAAACAAAAAAAATTAAAAAAAAGTAGCCTATGTTCATCAGGGACAATGTCGGCTTCTAATGGAAAAAGAATTTTTCAAATCGGTCCAGTAGTTTCGGAGCCTATTCGAAACAAACAAACAAACAAATCTTTCCTCTTTATAATATTAGTATAGATGATATTTATATATATTTATATTTATATTTTCTTTATACTTTATAGTATAAGAAGTTAAAGAAATAAATAAATAAATATTTAAGGAATTTCTCTTGTGTTACGGGCGAAAATACACAGAATAAGCAACTGATACACTCAAACTTAGAACAGCAAAATATGTAGCTTTTTTTTTCAACCTATTCTGGTGATCTCGAGGGGTCATATTAGATCCATCGAACGAGTACTAGGTCACTAGGTCTAGCAAGAGCCGTGCTTCGCAGAATCTACCACCGGATCGAAAACGCGACCCACGGAGAAGATCCGGCGAGAAACTCAGCGGGCTGTGTCTGAGGGTTTGAATATGTCTCATGAAGTTAACTCCGAACAGTGTTATACCAAACAGCAGACGAAGGTTATTTGTAATTAACCGACTTCAAAAGAGGAGGAGGTTCTCAATTCGACTGTATGTTTTTTTAGGTTTGTTACTTCATAACTTTTGACTGGATGAATCGATTTTGATTATTCTTTTTTATTAGAAATTTAGTCCAGTTCTGATAATGGGATCCATGAGAAAACCATATAAGTCTTAAATTTGCATTAAGTACGTGCGCGACAAATAGATGAATAACTCAATAACTCAATATCACGCCACACGATTTCGATAATTATTGTTTTTAGTGTATATTAATTTGTTTTGGAATATCTTTTATTTCTATTTGAAGTCGGTTTTTGTTAAAGCAATTATGTGTTATGCATTTATTTAATTTTTTTTATTGCCCTTGTAAGCAGACGAGCATACGGCCCACCTGATGGTGAGTGGTTACCGTTGCCCATGGACTTCAGCAATGCCAGGGGCAGAGCCAAGCCGCTGCCTACCGTTAAGAACTCTCCACGAGCCTCTTTTAAAAAAGGACATGTCATAGAATTAGACATTTAGATATATTGATTATAGAATCTCTATATATAAAAATGAATTGCTGTCCGTTAGTCTCGCTAAAACTCGAGAACGGCTGGACCGATTTGGCTAATTTTGGTCTTGAATTATTTGTGGAAGTCCAGAGAAGGTTTAAAAGGTAGATAAATATGAAAATGCTCGGAATTAAATAAAAATAACAATTTTGTTTTTCCTTTGATGTGTCCCCCGTCGTGCGGATTCCTTTTGTTTGTTTAAAGTTTATTTTATACAAAAGCTTAGGTCTTTTATTTTTCGATCGAGGCACCACGAAGTCTGCCGGGTCAGTTAGTTAGAAATAAAATTGATATCAATGCTCGTATTACGGATTCTCTTATCAAACAAAATTTGTTCGATTCCCAACCATTATTATCGAATAACAATTAATTATGCATCAAATTAATCTACATTTAATTAATGCATAGTGTTCGACTCGCCAAGTGTTTGGTAACATTTGTACTGTCAAAGTGTGAGAATCGTTACGAATCGATTATCCAAGGTGAACGCGCTCCGAAAAGCCCGCTTTCCAATAACCCAAGGTCCAATAATTAAAGGCAGATTTCTCCAAAAAACTTATAATTACATTATCATCGTCCTAATTACAAATTTAAAACTAGAACGGATACCGTTTTGCGATCGAATCATTCAAAATCATTCGAATATGAAATTTCTGAGCGATTCGATCGTTAACAATATCGATTTGAACAGAGTAGAGTACACGTAATGATTGTGCTGTCAGTTGTTACGTAACAACCTTCTCTGCTATTTACAAAGAGGAATAAATAAGAAAATAAAATACATTTTAATGAAAGTTACTTATAAATAAATGACGCAACCCGGGCGAGCTGCGTACAACATCACGAAATTTAACTTAAAACTTAAGTACATGAAATGGCGACTGACTTAAATTAATTGACTTAATTACATTGATATACAAAAAATGAAAAAGAGTTAGTAATAAAAAAAAAACGCGTCGCTCGTAATAATTGCCGATGCAGCGGAATTACGGTCGCCATTACAGGAAATAAAATATGTTTGTATCGATTACGCAAGCTCGCCGCTGGCCGTACCGCTGTTGTCGGCTGATGACTCGATCTTCATTGAGACAGTCGATTTTGCATTATAAACGTTTTGTGCCCACAACTCTGACGTAACTCAGTCGAAAACAAAACGGCGACGCGTTACTCGCAATAAATACGCGAACGTAAATAAATAAAATCTAATAAATTACAAACGATTATAAATTAACAATTAACACAGCAATTTATGTAAAACTAGATGAGCTTACGATCACACGAGCAGACGGTAAGCCGCGATTCAGTTCGGTACGCGGATCCACGCGGCGGAACGCGTGCTACACTTCCTCCTAAAAAAATAGATTAAAAAAACCGCGCGGGCACAACGTGAAAGGCAGTTATCCAACGTCATTAGAAAGGTGTCACGGTTGGCGGCCGCTTTCTAGCGCGAGTACAGAGCGAGGTCCGAGATTCTACGTTGGCGGGCGGCGGCGTGGAAGCCCCTCGTCCCGTCGGGCACTACGGGCGTCCGGGGCTCAAAGCGCGGCGTACACGACAACCTCCGGCCGCCACACTCGGTCCCTGTCAGTGAGCAGCCCGACAACCGACGCGCAAGCCAACCCTCAGCGCTGCTGGTGCTGCCCGTACTCGCCTGCGATGCCCTCCGAGAGTTGCAATAGAACGAAACGCCCGAATCCGAGCTGTGACTGCAAGTGGACGGCCGCCGCGGCACCCACGTCTGGATCTCAGGTGACCGGGGAGCGAAGAAGCCACTAGAGTTCCTTCTGTAGAACGGGGCTCCGTATCTGTAGTCATATTCGGCTTCTGACCCGCTACAGCACGACGAATATTCGCACTCGTGGCGGCGCTGCGGTATCGCGGAGGGTCGTCGTATAGGAGCTTTCCTCTTCGGTTCCCGGGGCACTCCATTTAATTCATACACTCGCATACCTTCGTCTCCCGGAGCCTGCAGCCGGAGCGCTTCCCTGGCCGACTCGGACTCCGTGAACTCAACTAAAGCACACACACAGTTTACTAAACTAGGATTTTTGTTCAGGAACTGGCGCACGTCAGCCGGCACCGGATTCCCCGGTCTCAGAACTCGAACTAGAGCGATCTCGCCGCAACCAGCAAACAAACGGGATACGTTCTCGACGGACGGCTTTTCTACAGGCATTCTGACAGCCACCACAGTCCTGGAGGGGGTGGTTTCATCGTAAGCCGGGAGCGGGTCTATCCTGCGCAATTTCGTTCCTAATTCATTGATCTCCAACTTAGTCGAGCGCTTCAAGGCTTCAGCGACCACCCGCCAGTCTTTCGTGAGGTGCTTGACGCGCTTGAAGCTTGAGATCAGCTTGAGAGAGACGTAACCTTCCTTATTCCTTCTGACGTGTTTGAGCAAAAACGCATCTTTCGTAATATTCGCGTCCGAGAAGTAAAACTCGACTTGTGACACAATTCTGTTCGCTAATTCCTCGTCCGGTGGCGTATAGGGCGGTTCCTGGGTTTCGGTTGCAACTTCGCAGCCTGAATCCTTGCCGCCGCCGGAGCCGGCATCAGACGCCGAGTCCGAAGAGTCGGCGTGGTCGTCTGTGGAGGGGCGGCGGTCGGTGGCGAACCCCTCGTCCTCGTTGGGACGCGGACTGGAGGGAGATGTGCCCTCCATGTGTGAGCCGCGTAAAACTCTATCGCATAACAAGCGTGGAGCTCGCTCGGTAGCGCGATTCGGACTGCGGGCGCGCGGCAAATTAACGCCTCTTTTATAATATCGGGGGGATGTGCGAGTAAAAGGCGCGAGTGCGGCATTCGGAAATGATACAAGATGACATTGCAGACTGCACGTTAGTTCGCGGGCTAATTAAACGCTACGAGCAATTCGGAACGCTGCAAATAAAGGTTTTGAGAATCAATTATATTAGGGTCGATTCGTGCGCGCCGCGTTACTAAATATTATGTACGCTTTAGTCTGGTGCCTACACGCGATTGTTACGTATGCGCAAATATAATTCAGCGTTACGGTTTACGAAATTGGAACAATGAAACATGTCTGATGTTTACGAGAGATTTAGTATGTTTAGATGTGATAAACACAGGACGTGTTATTGCAGAATAATTTTGCTGTAATACAGGCTCTTCTAATTTAATGACGAATATTAAGAATTTATGTAGTGTGTAATGGTCTAAGCTGTTTTTTTTTTGAGGTAAAAAACATTTCAATTTCGCTATTTTGTTTGTTGAGTGAAATAAATTTAAAGAAAAAACCCAACATCTTAAAACGGCCATCACATTCGAGAGAATTTCTTGAAAATCTCCAAACATTTACGTGACTTTCGTTGAGGAAAAGCATTTGTAAACTGTTGTGAGTATTAAAGAGCATAAAAAAAATACTTAAAAAAAAAGTTTTTTTTTTTTTATTGCTTAGATGGGTGGACGAGCTCACAGCCCACCTGGTGTTAAGTGGTTACTGGAGTCCATAGAAATTTACTGCGAAAATCGGCACCCACCTTGGGATATAGTTCTAGTTTTGTAGTCGTCGTGGCCTAACGGATAAGACGTCCGGTGCATTCGTGTTGAAGCGATGCACCGGTGTTCGAATCCCGCAGGCGGGTACCAATTTTTCAAATGAAATACGTACTCAACAAATGTTCACGATTGACTTCCACGGTGAAGGAATAACATCGTGTAATAAAAATGAAACCCTCAAAATTATAATTTGCGTAATTACTGGTGGTAGGACCTCTTGTGAGTCCGCGCGGGTGGGTACCAGCACCCTGCCTATTTCTGCCGTGAAGCAGTAATGCGTTTCGGTTTGAAGGGTGGGGCAGCCGTCGTTACTATACTTGAGACCTTAGAACTTGTATCTCAAGGTGGGTGGCGCATTTACGTTGTGGATGTCTATGGGCTCCAGTAACCACTTAACACCAGGTGGGCTGTGAGCTTGTCCAAGCAAAAAAAAAAAGGGTGGTGATACCTACCCGCGCGGACTCTCAAGAGGTCCTGCCACCAGTAAAATTAACACATTTGAAATATATGCGTGTATGTTTATTGGCGTATAATGGAATAATATGAAAATTTGGACGCGCATCAAGGACCGATGACATTACAATAATTTTATAAGTTCGCTCTCATATTCAGACCGGAATCGACGATAGATATCGTATTTTTGATAAAAAAAGAGGATAAAAAGAAGAATTTCATTGTAAGTTCGGTTTGCTATATAACCGTATTTAATATTTAAACTACACATATTATTGTGTTTGTAATTGTTTGTACATGCTGTATTAACGAAATAATATATATAAAAAAAAAATGTGTCGTTCAAATAAAAAAAGAATGATATAATTTTTTTCTTTTTTTTCCTCTACCTATTTATTCGCTGGTGGCCTAAGCGGCTATTACAACTTCTCGCGGACAGGTAGAAGAGCTCACGGGTTCAACCTATGAAAATTTGCTAACACTAGTCTTAGCAAGAAGAGTGTTTCGCAGAATCCACCATCGGATTGGAATCGCAACCCACTGAGATGATCTACTAATTACACATTGAATGTATGTCACTATGCCATCATGTAATATAAAGATATGAAAGCTTCGCGTAAAAGCCTATTTAGGTCGCGAGTGAGTCATGTGTTCTATTATATGGTAGGAAAGTTATCATAAAATAAAATTGAGACTCAAACTCATATCTCAAGTTCGCCTCAAACTGCCGCCACCAGAGATCATAGACATCGTCGTGCAGACATCATAATCTTTAGAGGATATAGTGACCTCGTTAACCTGGGTTTTTTTTTATTTTTCTTGTAGGCAGACGAGCATACGGCCCACCTGATGGTGAGTGGTTACCGTCGCCCATGGACTTCAGCAATGCCATGGTCAGAGTCAAGCCGCTGCCTATCGTAAGTTGTACAATAGCGTCATTTTCAAGGTCACTCTTTGTTCTCAATTAACTAATTATTGTTTTTATTGCACTAGATCGTCAAATGTTTACCAGATCCTATGGATATCACAACTTGTGTATAAGCCTTAATGTAAGGAATGCGTAAATTTATTTTCAATGCAAGTTTTTATTTATTTATTTTTTTCCTCCATTTCACACCAGCCCACCTGATGTACTGGAGCCCATAGACATCTACAACGTAAATGTGCCACACACCTTGAGATATAAGTTCTAAGGTCGCTACACTAGTTACAACGGCTGACCCACCCTTCAAACCGAAACGTATTACTGCTTCACGGCAGGAATAGGCAGGGTGGTGACACCCACCCGCGCAGACCCACAAGAGGTCCTACCAGCGTTTAAGCGTCATCGTCATTCTTTCCTATTACCCTCTGCTAGGGTGTAGGGCTCGAACCAAATCCTTCTATTTACATCGGTCTTGGGCAGTCTGATCAAGCTCCTCCCACCTCATGCCCAAGACCCCCAGCTCCTGCTCCACCGAGTGTCGCCAAGATCTTCTGGGGCGGCCTTTCTTCCTTTTGCCAGATGCTTTCCAGGTCAGTGCTCTCTTTGATAGGTGGGTATCGGGCTTTCTCAATATGTATTAAGCGTAATGTCGCTTAAACCAAATAGCTTTTCACTCCTCGATATACATATTATTATGTAAACATAAACCAGTCTCTAATGAGCGGTCAGCTGCGAATTCGTTTGGTAATTAATGCTTTTAAATACTAAAAATCCACCGTAATCACACTTCTTGACTTCGTGATTTTAATATGAACGAGCAAATATTAAAAACGGACGAGCGTGTGTCGAAAACACAGCGCAGGGTTCCGTAGTGCGAACGTTCACATTTACTGGTGGTAGGACCTCTTGTGAGTCCGCACAGGTAGGCACCACCGCCCCGCCTATTTCTGCGGTGAAGCAGTAGTGCGTTCGGCTTGAAGCGTGGGGCAGCCGCTGTAACTTGTTGAGACCTTAAAACTTATATCTCAAGGCGTATTTACGTTGTAGATGTCTATAGATTCCAGTAACCACTTAACACCAGGTCGGTTGTGAGCTCGTCCACATAACAGAGCAATAAAAAAAGCCATTCGGAGAGGCCACAACCTTCATTGACGATTATTTACTTAAGAACAGAGGGTAATGCTGTGACACTATTTTAGGCTGTGCTCCCTATATTAGCTTATCGTTCAAGATTGAAGGACAGCCCTAGTACCATACGATTGAGACAACGACCTCGTGCCTCAAGTTCGGCGGTGGCAAATCTCCAGTAACCCCTTAATGATAGAAACCTTTAGAGTTTCATTGAAAAGCATTAATTTCCAAATTCAAAGAAAATTCAATATTTATAATTTTAATAAACTAAGGTTTTCGCCATTAACCTCCGAAACCCTAAAATTTATAAGCCATCATCATCTAAAAAAAAAAAACTTTAAAAACAAAAAAATTAAACCCGAGTAGTTTAGTTGTACTCGTCGAACCGGTTTTTGAACAACAACAATATTTTTGTATGTATATAAAGTGATGTTCCATTATGAGAACAATAATTTTTGATTGTCGCAAAAAAATATATACTATACATATATTAACAAAAAACCATAACGATAGTTGTCTCGTGAAGTACTTCCTCGTAATCAAACTAAGTAATTTATGTATTCATTTGCCAACAGGTCTGTTTGTTTAGTGTGAGTTTTTTTAACGTTCTCGATAACGTAAAAGTTAACTCGATTTTGTATGGAGTTTGAACGTTTACGTACGTTTGCCGCTAGGGGCGCTGTTCCAAATGCATACAAATTTGCGTTAACTTTTACGCTATCGAGAACGTTAAAAAACTCGCACCAAGCACACTGGACGCGCTTCACTGAAACGTAGCTACAGAAACATATAATATAAATTTAGGAATCCAGTGTAAGTATTGCGTGAATCCTCATTGTGACGGCCACTTGCAAATTCCGCGATGCTCTTATTATCGCAAAGCCAACACATATGTATCTCAAAGCGAGTGTGTAGTAGTATTCACGTCATATTACACTATATATTAATACGTGAAGCAAAAACTTTATTTATTTATTTATTAAGTAGCACCAACAAAGTGATCATCTATATAAAACATTGATAAACTGATAAAAGTTCATGGCAGATGTCACCTCAATTATAGGTGCGCAATCGACAGTGCATTAACAACAAAAATAAAAATAAAATATATAACTAAGATATGATTACATTTGATTGATTGCTTAAGATTAATTTATATTGAACTAGCTGACCAGGCAGACTTCGTAGTGCCTCAATCGATAAATAGAAGACCTAAGCTTTTGTATAAAATAAACTTAAAACAAACAAAAGGAATCCGTCCGACGGAGGACACAACAAAGGGAAAACAAAATTGTTATTTTTATTTAATTCCGAGCATTTTCATATTTATCTACCTTTTAAACCTTCTCTGGACTTCCTATTTGTGGAACACAGGGAATTTGAATTTGGGGTTGGGTGATCGTGCGTGATTTGTTCTTAGTTATTTATTATTCATATAATTACTAGCTGACCCGGCAGACTTCGTAGTGCCTCAATCGATAAATAAAATACTATAAATAAACTTTAATTGATTCCGAGTATTATCATATTTATTTAGTAAAAGGACTTCCACAAATAATTCAAGACCAAAATTAGCCAAATCAGTCCAGCCGTTCTCGAGTTTTAGCGAGACTAAAGAACAGCAATTTATTTATATAACTACCTATATATATAAGTATATAGAAGAAGACGATAGAAGATAGATAGAAGAATGGGATATGATCCGCGACATTTTTCCTGTAAGTTGTAAGACAATTAGAAAAAACACCTAATAGAGTCTACCTCAGATAGTGGTGGACCATTAATATGATACATTCGGGAAATTGAACATCTTTTCCTAGTAAAATGAATTACATAGCACTTTCTGATATACATATTAAGCCCCTTTTTACGAAAATTGCACCGATGGAGGAGTATGGAATTTCCCACACTTAT